CATAGTTGACTCTGCTGTGCCGTCGGCAGCAGCAGCAACCAACACAGACTTGGCTTCGTTCTTCTTTGCAACCTGGGCGCTCTCAACCTTGGAGGCCTTGGAGGAGCTAGCAGGCGCTGTCTGCGATGCTTTGCCTCCTCTGGCTGAAGTGGAAGGGGCGCTGGTTTGTTTGGCTTTGGCAGCTTTGGCTGGAACTTTGGGGGCTGCTTTGGAAGCACCTGCTTTGCGCTTGGAACCAAAAAAGGTAGCAGTAGCACCTGGCCCTTCATCGTCAGACTCCTCATCCTCATGATCTGAATTTGACGAGGCTGCTGAGGCCGCGGCCTTGTCTGCCGTGGGGGCATCGTTGCTGCTCCTTGACTGTGCAATGATGGCAAGCAGGGCGCTCGTGTCCATGACCTGGCTAGAAGCCACGGCTGCCTCACGTTCCCGGTGCGTCTTGTCCAAGGCGCTCTGGGCAGCCTTCTGCTTGCGTGCAAAAGCCTCTTTGGCAAACAAACCCTCTCCGTTGTGCTCTTCTGTCTGCTCCTTCAGAGCTCTGTCCTCATAGTTCTCATAGTCCCATTCACCCTCAGCTCCAACTCGCACCCAAGCACCTTTACGAACTTTGCCGTGGATTTCCTCCTCAACGACCTTTGCGGTGTCCAGTTTCCCATACTGCTCTTCTTTCCAATGCTGTTCCTCAACAAATTTCATTCGGGGAGCGATGAACTTGCCACCTTGGGTCCGCTCCAGGAGCAGGCTTTGCTTTACTGCTTTCAAGGCCTTGGTGTCTCTCAATCTGTATTCCTGAGGGTTCTCATTGTGCGCTTGGATCCACTGGGCCAAAGCCTTCAAAAAGCTGGAGTGTTCCTTCTGGTTCTCCTTCTTGGACACAAACTTGTAGTAGCTGGAGTAAGAGCCATACTCAGCATGCAGGCCTGTCAAGTTAAGAAGGTTATGGGCACTAGAGAAGACTGTACCGTACCATGTGGCAACAGAGCTAGACTTAAAAGGTAACGACCGGAAAATGGGCGAGTTTTGGCAACAAGCGGGCCTAAAGCACGGAAGGTGTTGAAACAGGGGAGGCAGCACTTCCCTTCTGGCACTCTCCAAGTGCCGTCAGCGAGTTTCATGCGCCTGTACTTGGCCCAAGGCCGTCTATTCTGTGTCTCTGGGTTGGGGTCTTCAAAAGGACTCTCATCAGTGCTGAGAGAGTTGCAGAGACAACAGCGACAGGCCTTGGAGTGAGCATAGGAAACCGGCAGGCTGCTCACCGTCACATGGGTTGGGCACTCCGAATGCGCTACTTTTGCCTTGGGCTCTGGAGGCGCTCCGGACTCAGAAGCTGAGCAGCTAGATGAGCTGGCAGAACCAGCCATGGCATGGCGCAGGAGCAAGGCAACAGAAACCAACTAAAGAAGAGCCAACAAGACAGAAGGGCCTCAGGTGTAACATGTCAGATTGCCTGCGATACTCCCTCACAAGTTCAAACTGGACTGAACAAAATCAAATATATCTTTGTAGGTGCTTATACTGAAGTATTTCAAGAAATGAAAAGACTATTTTCAAAACTATTGCCTAAACAATTGCCAAAACAATTAGCGTCGAGAAAACAAAGGTTAGCGTCGAGAAAACAAGGGTTAGCGTCGAGAAACCAAGAGTTAGCGTCGAGAAGACATCAACAATTGTTCAGACAAAACATTTAGCAATTCTTCTGGCAAATGTTGTTTTAAATTTAAATATACATTAACTACTTAAATATAAATGTATCAAATTTGCGTGAAAACTATCCCAATGTATTCATTCAACACAGATGCCGGTGAGAGTTAACACAGAAAATCCAGCAAGGTTGCTGCAGCTGAGTTTTGCGACTTTCAAGCAAGTAAGTACGAAGGCGTCCAACTATGTTGGAGGCAGCCTACTCTCCAGCTCGCTCTCAGAGAGACCATGTGTGAACGCAGCCAGATGCTTGCCACCCATGCCCACATGCTTGGCACGCTTGGTGGCTGGCCACAGCTCATCGTCCAGCCCGCTGATCAGCCACCGCTTGAGCCTGAGGACGCACACGTCGTCAGTCAACCCTAGGCTGGTACCCAGGCTCACAGCCTTCTTGCATGAGCCTGAAGAGCCCATGTGAAGACCATCAAGGTGCCTGCCACAGATAGCACCCCAGCCAGTCTTCCTGCCTTGGCTGAAAATTGGGGAGATCTTGAAAGGCCCCCAATCAGTGGCTCGCTTGTGCAGAACCCGGCCTGAGGCCTGCAAACCGGAGCTTGATGATGGGGCCTACTCACACACGCCATCTCTTGCAGGTAGATCTGCTAATGGGCCTTCATTTTCAGACTCCAACCCAGCTTCTGAAGCACTGGTGTGGCTGTTGCTCTTGCAGGGATTCTCCTGGCCTTTCTTTTTGCGCTTTGGCGGAACCAGCCCAGAGGGCCTCTCACCAGCTGTCCCCTTTCTCTTCCTTCCTTTGGAAGGGTGGTGGCTCAACAGGCGCAAGGCTGACATGGCCATCGACTGCTCCTTCTTGGCGCCACGCCAAGTCTGGAAGCTCCCCATGTCCACTAACTGGGCGCCTTTGACAATGAACTGAGAGAGGGCCTCAATAGTGTCTGGCTCAATGATCTCCAGGGTCCAATCGGACGCCGCACCAGCAAGCCTTACACACAGAGCAACGTCGTGCAGCCAATCCCCCTCCAGCCCCCTCACCTCTAGCCTCAAAGCTTGGCCAGGATTTCTGGGCATTGGGTGCAAAACAATGCAAGCTGCTTCAATTGGCTGCTTCCTGGTGTGGAAGGCGATAGAAACATAGACAATCTGGCAAGAAAAAACTGATGAGTACCGCAGCACCAAAGGCTCAGCTGCAGGCTGGCTTGGGCCTGGGCCATGTGTCATGATCGTATGAACAAGTAAGTCGTGCAGGTCGTGATAAACATCCTGCTGTGCTTCGTTCAAGCCACTGACACAATACCCGGCTGGACAGCCAGCAAACAAGGGAGCTCTGTCCTCAGAACCTTCTTGAAAAGCAATGGGTGCGTCCATCAAGCTATTGTTTTCACATTTCCACTTCTCTGCCAACACTGGCATCTGGTCTATCACAGAGTTGATGACATGCTCTGACAAGCAAAAGCCCTCACTTGTTCCCACAGACCAAGGGCCACCCACAACAGGCTCTGTAGCCCTCCGCTGCCTTGCCAAGGACTGAGCTGCCAAAGCGTTGCCTGCCTTGGCCTTCACTGACCAGGCATCCTTCTCGTTCTGAGGCTTCAGCCTCCACAAGGCCCTTGCCTTGTCAAAGCCTACTTTGCCTTGCTCTGTGCCAAGCTCCTTTGCAAAGAGGTGCAATCCAGTCTGACTGCGGCCCCTTTTGAGGGGCTGAACCCAGTCAGGTCTGCGAAGATTGCTGGCAGCAGGTGGAAGAATCCCAGATGCCCTGGCCTTAGCCCTCCATATGGCCACTTTGTCTCTGAACCTTGATGTGACATGCTTGGCAGCACATTGAAACAAATTGAGTTTAGGGCCTGACTTCTCACACCATTTTGAGAACCTGGAGAACATGCGCTCGATATAGGTTGAAGCGGGCACAGCCCGCTCAAACAAAGCGGCCAAAAAGGCCTGCGCATCTTCATCCAGGAGCCTTTCATGGCTGCCCAGGACACTTCTTTCTCAACTTGAGAGAAAAACAATCCAAACAACAAGGCTTCACACTGAAGAGTTCTTGGGCAAGGCCCTGGCGAACATCCATGGGTGCCTGCACATCGGTTATATTTGCCAGCTTCCATGGAAAGCGTTTCCATGGCTCAATCAACTTCCGCCACAGCTGTCCCATGACTGTGAACAGTGTTCGTCTGCAGCAACGCTTGAACTTATCCTCCCAAGTGCTCTGCTGTCCATAGAACCCGGCCAAAGGCCCCCAGAGCGGGTGGTCAGGACTGCTTAAAGCAGACATGAGTTCACCCATGCTGCTTGTAGCAGGGTTCAAAGAAGATTTGAAAAAACAAGCTGTCGTTGCCCCTATGTTGCTTGAGTTTGAATCGCCCAGCTCTAACTCAATTTCACCCTGCTCACCTGTGACCCCTTCCACAAGCTCTTGACCAATGTCCTGTGGGTTCAACTGCTCAGCCTCTTCTGGCGAAACCCGCTCAGAGAGCCAAGTAGCGTTCTTAAACAGACTGTAGTGGATGAAAAAACTTGCCATGGTGAAAAAACTTGCCTCTTTGTCTGCAAGGAAATGAACGGCCTTTTGCTCTCGCTTTCGTGCCAGCTTCCTCCAGATCTTAGTCTGGTCAATTGGCAGGCCAAGAGCCTTTGCTTCTTCATTTTCTTCAGAAGCACTCTCTTCAGCAGAGGGTGGAAAACAAGCCTGGAAGGCATCACGCATCAGGTTGAAGGTGTGTTGCATCAGAGACACATGGCAAAGGCATGGGGCCACTTTGGTCCATTTGTTGAGCGCTGGCACCACAACTGGTCGGAGCACCACAGACCTGAAGAGCTGGAAGGCCTTCTGAACTGACTCCTCCCTGCCGCTGCAGCAACCAGGCAGGCATAGGTGAACTGGCTGTCCTGCCAGGGCCAAGACATGAGAATGAACACTTCGGGTGCAAACTTTAGACCCTAGACCGCATACCGTGACCTTTGCCTGTTGTTGTATGGGAACATGAATGAAACTTATTTAAGTATTGAAACACAATCGTCAAAATATGGAGCTGTGGGACACCAGGCCATGTCAAGGCTACTGCAGGCTTCTTTTTCCAAGGGAAGACAAGCCAAGGTTTCAGGCTTAAAGCTTCGCGATCCTGCAAAAAGAACTCCTGTCAGAAACAACCGACTGCTTGGAAACAAACCATGCTTTCTTGTGAACTCTTATAGTATCATGAGCCATGACTCATGAGGCATGACTTGACGTTCAAGACTTGGCAGTCGGAGGCTGCTGACAGAGCCAACGGAGGCTAGGCTCAAGAAAGGCAACGGCAGGAACTCGCTACTACAAGCCTTCTCAAAACTTGGCTGGAAGCCTACGGGTCCACTCTGCGCCGGTAGCCTTGGTCCCAAACCCAGACTGGAGCGTCCAAGAGCTCAACGCCGCCCCAGTACCTCTTCACATACATCGCCAGTTCCACATTGCAGCTCAGGCGTGCGTCCACCACACCGGCGTTTCGCGGGCCTCCAGGAGAATTCACAAGCGACCTGACAAGGCCAAAGGCCCGCTCGGTAGCGCCTGCCTTGTCGTAGAGGCCCCAGAGCAAAAGCTTCAGAACCTGAAACAAGCCTTTGGAACCAGCTGCATGAAGCACAGTGGAACCGTTGGTGGACCTGGCCTGCATGGTCTGACAGGAGCATGTCTGGAGCAAGCGGCGCAAGAAGTAAAAGTACTTCTCCTCACCCAGAGCCCGAATCTTAGTGTCAACCAACAGCATAAGTGTGGACCAGTGCGCTGGTCGGCCATCGCAGTTGGTAATTTGGTCTGCCAAGTTCGGGTTGATCTCCAAGACACGGTCAAAGACCAGCTCCTTGCCTTGGCGAATGGCGTGGTGAAGTACTGTCAGGCCGTTGGCATCACGGATGTCCATGACACTTGCAGGGGTTGCCTGCTCCAGCAACTGCATGCACTGGGCCTCTCCATGGCTGTTGAGCACAGATTTCAGAACCTGGTTGGCAAAGTCAGACTGCAAGCGCTGGTCCTGCAGACAGCTGCTTGGGCGCATCGAGTTAGCACCATCATCACGCTCAGTCTCATGATCTGTGTCCAGAGAACCCTCGCCAGAGGCGGCACGGCTCTTCTTGCTTGCAGGCTCAATCTTTTCCCATTCAGAAGCAGAAGTTGCCGCTGCATCACTCCGACGCTTCTCAAAGACCATCGTGAAGGACTCAGCTTCAGAAGCAGCCTCGCCCTGCACAGGCGGACTGGGCTCTAGGCCTGCTGGCACAGAGAGGTCAGGCTTCACAGTTTCAAAACCTGCCTCGAGGGCCCTGCGCCTGAAGTTGAGGGGGCTGACAAGCTCATTGCCTGCAACCAGAAACAAAGGTGTTGCAGCCACCTGGACGGTGGCCAGGAAGGTGATGGGCTTCACTGGCGACATCCTAAACTGCGATCTTGGAGGCGTTGACTCAAGGTCGACTATGTTGCGCAGAGTCGCCACATACTGGCCAGCAACTTCTGCTTCCCAGCCCAAACCTCTCATCAACACCAACACAAGTAGTGTGGCGCTGCGGTGTGCTCCGTTGCGGCAAGAAATCAAAACATTCTTGCCTGCCCTCAAGGCATCCCAGACCTGGTCCAAGACCTCAACCACACGCTGCATGTCGTAGCTTCCATTGCAAACCCCGGTGCCGTCAATACACTCCAGGACCTGGACACTCAAGGAGTCCACAGGTTTCGGGGTCCTGCAAGCTGGCCAAATCACAGAGATGTTGTTGGCTGAGAGCGCTGCTGGATCTGTGGAGGCATTCTCTCCACCCAGGAACAGCTTTCCATAGCCACTCCCTTCTCCCAAGAACTCTGCGTCCAGAATGACATGCAAAGGGTGCCTGCCAGGCAAAATCTCAAAACCGTTGAAGAGAGGCTGCTGGAAAAGGCTTGCTAAAAAAAACAAACGCTTTTGTCACAAAATGCACAACACTACAACCATAACAAGTTCAATAAGAAAATTGAACCAATGAACATGGATGAAAAAATAAAGCTGCGGGCCTTTGGTTGTAGGCTTGGCGAGCGACTCTGGTCACCTCCACGCCGCCATAAGTGTCACACACCAGCATCCGGAACATCTTGTCCATGGCGACTTTGAAGCCAAACTTGTCCATTTTTGAACCAGGCCAGAGGCCGCGGGCAGCTGTCCGCCTCTGGTCGTCACGCAGAAACAGCTTGGACAGCCCTTCACGCCGCGCCTTCTTGAAAAGACCGTCCAGAGAGTCCATGTCAATGCCCGGCATGGGACAAGAAGGTCTGGGTCTGGAAACTGCGCACTCTCTGAACTAACTTGAACCAAACTCTTGGATCAAAGGACAAGAAAGCTATGAGACTATTTGATACAAATTGGCCAGTCCACCTGCCTACCCTAACTTTAACCAACTGTAAAAAGTCTTGCAAGGTAGAAATAGGAAATTATATAGAACATGAACAGTTTTCAAGCGACTGTCAACCAACCCAGGTAAAGCCCCGTGCTTCAAACGACGCCCCCTCTTGCCCAAACCCTGGTCCTGTCCAGTGGCCAGCAAAGAAGTCCAGGAAGTCATTGGCAGCTTGTTGGCGGCGACCTGGCACAGAGGCCTGCTCCATGCTGGTGGCCATGACCAGCTCCAAGAAACTGCGCTGGGCAACCTTCACATCGCTCCACTCCTGGAGTAAGTCAGCTGGCACGGCATCAAGAACCACAAGCCTTCTTGCCAGCATGGCTTTGATCTTCTCGGACACTTTTTGCATAACCTTACCTTTCTGCAGAGTTTTGGCGACAGCAAAGGAACCTGGCAAAATGCCCAGCAGCTTTGTTGCTCGCTCCACAACATTACCATTCCGGTGCTGCGCGCACAACGTCGGGAGGAGCATGTGGTTCTCCTCTAAAGTGTAATTCAAATGCCTCAGAAGTCTCAAGTTAGCTGAAAAAGCGTCGCAAGTCACCATCGTGCAGCGAAATTTGGCACTAGCAGCATCTGGACCAGGCCTGAGGCCACCAGGCCCTTGGCTCAATGAAGCAAACATCGTTTCTGCTGTTTTATCCAGCAACGCTTGAGGATTTCTGATGACATCAAGATCCTGCACACCATCTGGGCCACCATAGCTCACTTGTGCATGAGATGCTAGGATGGACCAATCACCAGGACCAAAATCCTCCAAGGCTACTTCGAGCTCTGTTTCGTCGAACATGAGGTTCAAAAGGCAAAAGGTAAGCTGACCGCCATCACCCCATTTCGCCTTTGCTTCTGCGGCTGCCCGGGCCAGCCCTTGTGATTGGACTTGGTGCAAAGCCTGGGCTACAAAACAGCGGGCCATAGAACAATGGCTAGCGTGCTCTGCGACCTGCCTCAATGACAATATCTCATTTGCAAAAGCCGCCCTGAGAACTGCCTCGCTAGTCCAAGATTTCCATTTGCCTGAGCCAGGCCTTGCACCCGGCCTGAGGCCCTGTCCAGAGAGCGGCAGCATGTGGTCGCTGGTTCTATTCCGGCCTTTGCTGTTGTTGCTCTGCATCTGTCTTTTGAGCCGCCGGTCTGCCAACTGCTTCTTGCGGGTCCGGTGCTGCAGCTTTCTCGCACGTTCAGCAGCTTTGGCTATCCGCTGCTGAAGCGAAGCAACAGGCCTACCTCGACTTGGTCTTTGACCTGCATGCCGCTCAGCCACAGCAGCCAGCCCGTGGCTAAGAATGCCCAACCCTAAGCATCCCAGAGTTCCTACAAGCCTGCTAGCAAGGTGCTAGCAAGCAGGGAAAAATGCAACTTGTGACTTGAGCAAGAATGATGTTTCGCACACAGTGAAGGGGGAACAGCTGTCTAATCTAGCGTCCAAAACATCTGACTTACACTTATGGAGACCCAGGCTGAGGTGCTTGGGTTTGGCCATGCTGGTGGGACCGAAGTTCTAGGGACCTGAAGCTACATGAGCATGAGGGGGACATGGCCCAAAAACGTCCCAACACCAGTCAGTGCAACCTCTGCTTTTGGCACCCCTGCCTGGTGCACGAGCCTCATTTTGCTGGGCAACCTGCAGCTGCACAACACTGTTGCAGGCCCATTGCCCAGCCTGCGGCCCTTGAACCTGGCCTGAGGCCGAATAAAACCTGGCCTGAGGCCAACGCCAACATGAATTGAGTGTTCAGTTGCCTGCATCATCAGCAGACATGAACCCCTCAGAGGCATCACTATATGATGCCTTTATGCGGGAGCGCAGGGGGCTGAAACGCTCACAAAAGAAGTAGCACACAGTGCACCAGCCAATCAGCGCAAACACACATAGAGCTGCAAACCATGGCGTCTCCAAGCAAATGCACTTGCACATTGCAAAAGCATAGCGGTGGTCATGAAAACACATTGGATTGAAATCCTGAATGTCCAGTGTGGGAACATACCTGACCTCTTCTGCCATGGAAGAAAGCACATGCTGACATGGTTCTCAGACCCTTCTTGGACCAGAGTCTAGAAGCGGTAGCACAGCAGCAACAAAACACACAAATGCAAACAATTATCAAGAAATTGTTTCCACAAAAGAAAATCATGAAAACAATTTCTCAACAATTGTTTTAATATATTTTAACAATTAAAACAATTGTCAAAACAATTGTTGAAACAATTTCCAACCTTCAAAAGAATATTTCGCTTGTTTGTTTTGGCGTCCTCATCACCGGAGGTTTAGAAAACATTTAAGATTTGATGCGCCTGTTTTCCTACGCTTTCGGTATTTCTATTGCAGGGGGGCAGTGAATCTCATTCCATCCACTGCCCAACGAAGACGGTGGTTTGAGATTGTGAAGCGAGAGGGGACGCCTTCTTGTGCACCTGCAATTTTCCACTTTCCGTATGGCAAGAGGCCAAGCCAAGAACCTCGATACTCAGATGTCTTGTTGTTTTTCTTTGCACTGCAGATGCGAGCGGAACGTCGTCAGCCTGTTCGTTCGTCGTTCGGCTCCTTCCTCTTTGGGCCACCTCTCCGTTTGAAGACCCCCAGGTTTCGCTGGTTCCCTACTGGTACTCTTAGGAAATGGAACCCTAGGCCGGCGTGTAGCACCGCATTCAGTTCAGTACACAATATCCTAAGTGTGTTTGGCCTTGTGCCAACCCGGGATGAGCCCGCAGAGTGCCTCCCGTGGACCCGTCGAACGGGTGTACGTCGTTATCTCCCCTGCCCGGAGATGTAGATGCCCAGAGCGGGCGAAGGTGGCCTAGGCCGTACGTACGATGATCTTTGTCTCATCTTTGGAATTAATTCCAAGTTGGCTCACGCCTTTACGTGACCGCAGCGGTCAAAGCAGCCAGCCATTTCGGCAAGGCACAAGGTGACCATAGCGGTCGAAGCCAGTTTTCAGGTTCATATTGGAACCTGTTGGAGCCTTAGTTTTCCAGTTGATCCGCCCCCTCTTCCCGCCATGTTTCCTTCTTCGGCTGGTCTCAACCCTGTGGACGGCATCACGATGAGAGCCCAGACTATCTTACATCGAGAAATTCTTCACCTACATGGCTTGCTGATCCTCGCGATTTCACTCCTTCGTACCCGCTTTGCTATCCTTTCTCCCTCCTTCATGGACTTCGTTACCTCGCCGATCTTCAGGTGCAAATTCGAGGACTTGATTCGGCGATTCGACAGGCGATTCAGGCCATCCATACCGGTGTGCACTATATCCAGGAACTCCTCACTGCCTTTGGAATGATGCACGCCTTGACTTGCGACACTGCTCAACTGGACGCTGAACTACGTGGACGCTCGACTTTCCCTGACCCTCGCCTTCCTTCTTTCCATCTTCCTCCTTTGGACTCACCTTCGACTCGACGTGCGACATCTACCAGTTCTACTCCGGCTGCACCATCGATTCCGCCATCGAGGACCCCTACAAATCGTTCTCCACGTCGGCCTGTGGTTACCACCTCGAATCGGTCCAGTACTGCTCCTTCACGCTCTCGGTCTCACCCTCGTTTGAACCCTAGGAATCTCTAGATGGCTCTTTCGCTCACTCTTCCAATCATGAGAGAAAATGTCCACTCTTTTCCTTTTCTTTCCCTTTCATGTTACCAACTTGTTCCTTTGCTTTGAGACACTTTCTTCCAACTGTACACTCTTGTTTCGTTTGGCTCTCAGCCTTCCCACGTCCTATACCTCATCCCTTCGAGCTCGCACCTTTCGGTCCTTCTCGCCGCCATGTCTACATCGTCTACGACGACCTCGACTCGCCCTACGGGATTGGCACCAATTGCCGGCCTACCTCCTGCTGCCCATGAGGTACTTCATCGTGAACTTCTTCATTTACATTCTTCGCTACACTGGATCCTCTTGATCCTCCGCGGACCTTGGGATACTGTCACTCCATCCCTGGTGGACACGATTACCTGTCCTCGCCTTCGTACTACTCTTCGGGCCCTTGAGACCAGCATTGAACAGATTCGACGATCTACCTGCACTACATTGGTCTACACTGATGAGCTTTGCTCCGCATTGGCACTCCCGCATATTACAGGCCACATGGTTCCTTCTCCCAACTCCCGTTCTTCATCTATGGCCTTCCCTCGCCTACACGTTCTTATCTCTCCTCCCTCTCCACCCTCGACGACTACGACGACGACTACCACTGACCCGACTCCTCCTCAAATCCTTCATACTTCCACTCCTGCTTCGATTCCTGGATTGACCTTGACCCGGATGTCACGTTCTCGCTCATCCTTTGGTCACGATCCCCTCCGCGACGATTCCGATTTTAGCTGGCTTTCTCACTTACCAGACCACTTTGAGCTTTGGCAGTACAGAAAAGCACACCTGTTATTCAGACGTCAGCTTGATCACCTCTTTGGGCTTCTCCACCTTATTCTATTGATCCCCATTTTACACTTCCCCGTTTTCTGTTGGGCTCACCAGCGATCACCCGCCTCGCTCCATCGTTTCTCGCCGCTTTTTCCGCCATGGCTTCGACACCTACACCACCCTGTGGTCTAGCTCCGATTCCAGGTCTTCCACCTCGCGCTCAAGCAATGCTACATCGCGAACTCCTACTTGTACATGTTCTTCTGGCTCAGATCCATTCACTACTGCAGGTCCCACTCTGCATTCGGACTCTTCCATTCATGTATCGGGTGACACCCACAACTTCGAGCTCACCTGGAAGGTTTGGACAACACGCTCCTCCTTGCCCTTCGCCTCAACCACACCGCCGTCCACTACACCCACGAGCTCCTCACTGCCTTGGGCCTTCTTCACATTCTTCAACAGAGCCCGGAACAACTTGAAGATGAACTTGCAGGTCGAACCGACTTTGGCGATCGGGCATCCCTCTCCACACTACCTATTCCTCCTCATTCCACTACGGCGTCATCGAGGACTACCAGGTCCCACATTACAGCTGACCGGATGCCTCCCTCTCTGGATTCTCCACCCTCTCGCCATGTACCTCGACCTCGCCTTCATATACGTTCGAGATCTCGCTCTCGCCCACGCTCGACCCGATCCTAACTTCTGTGTCTCACCTTGGATGGCACCAAACGCTGGAAAAGGCATAATTTTTCTTGGTACATATTGAATCTTGCTCTTGCAACCGCATTTACTTTGGGCACTCTCTTCCATTGTTTTGATCCATTCTTTCTCTTTTTGGGCTCTAGCTTCTGTGACATACATTCTCACGTGATGATCATACATTTCATGCTTCTCTCTTTCCTTCCGTTTCTTGTTGCTAATCTTTGCTGTAAACATCTTCGGGCGAGTACCTACTTCATGGCGAGCTCTGGTTCTTCTGTGGCATCCACTCGTCCTCATCGACGACGTGACCTTGGCCGCAGCTCTCGCTCAAGGGACACCCGACCTCACACACACACACACATTGAAGAAGTGGACTATGACGATGACGAGAACAATCCCGTGCCATCCATCAACCCACCACCCGGCACTGGAATAGCACGCAGCGCCCCAGATCCACCACCACCTTCCGCTACAGCCACCGGGGATTCTGCTCACACGACTCTTACCTCTCCTCGCACCGTTTTCGCCCCACCTTCAGCACCACGTCCTCACCAGTTTCCACTCTCCACTCCCACCTTTCCACCCTCTCCACCCGCGCATCTCACTGGACCACTCTTTCCACCACCACGGGTTCAAGCACCTCGTCCCCGACCTCCACTCTCTCACCCTCGTGCCACAGGCCCACCACCACGCAATCCATATATGTACCACGTTCACGACCCAGACAACCACCTTCCTCCCGTGACCATCGCACTTCTCGGACAACCCGCACAAGACATTCTGATCGACGACGTTCCCATCCCAGGAGCCGCTCCGCCCACTCTCACCGACGTCGACGCCGA